CAGTAAGCGACCTCAACCATTGAGTAATAAATCAGCTGATTCTTTCACAAAATGAGCCTGGCAGAAAATAAGATACACTCATAAACAGTGGCTACTGTTCTGTAAGTGATCTTTTGAAAATAGAATAACAGAAATAGTGAAAGATAAAATGATAGCAAACTTCTTGACAACAATTATAGAGGCCAGAATTTAATGGCGCTACACATGTTTAAAATAATAAATTGGTCCTAAACACTATATCCCACCAACTTTTTTTTTTTAAACAAAGGAAGACCATTCTTTTTCTTTGAACAACCAAAAGTCAGTTAATTCAAAAATTGAGATGGGTATAAAATGTTAAACCTCCTTACATGGATGAAAGAACAGATAATTGGTTAGTTATGTGACGGATGAATAAGTACAGAACAATGAATGTATTTCAGAGCTAAATTACAGAAAATAAAAACAAAATTGGCCGGTTAATTTTGTCTAACTCTTTGTTGAAGTAGAATGTTAGTATTAAATAGTTGTGGCTATTTTGGCAAGACACATTTGTGAGACTAACAAGTAAGTGATACCTATACTGTGGATCCACAAATAGAATGTTTATGATATTCTTGTCAGCATAAATACAAATACTAAATGAACTTTGTACTCTACTTTAATTATAGATCTATTTATATAGTGTGGGATATATATCTAAAGTTACTTACTGCATAGTCCCTTGGAGAAAACTAACTAGTAATTGCTTAGAGGGGTTGACTATGTACCATCATTTTGAAAAAATCTTATACTAGTCAGGTTATCTGAAATTATATTCATCAAAGTTGTTCTTTATTAACTTTACTAATGTTGTTACTATTCATACAAATCTAAAAATAATCCTACCTCTCAAGAGAACAGTTTGTTAAATAAGGTAGACAAGAAAATCCATTGTGAAAAAAGGCATTGGAACAATACTTTTAAAATCGAAGTTATGTGTCACCCTCTTTTGAAAAACTGAATAGTAATTGGTATGTAGAATCTATTACAAACCTACCAAGTCAGAATCTTCAAAGAACACTAAGCACTGTTATTTTGAAATTGTGCTGCAAGTCATTTTCATGTCTACCCTATTCTCTTCTCCTAGGACAAGAATAAATATGCTAAAAATATTCACAGATCCTTAATTGGTCAATAAGAGTTGGTAATCTAGATATAGACTAAATGAGGGCATGTTATATGCCATAGTAAGAAAACTTGGTTTGTTTAATGAATATAATTGCATTAAAGTATTTTCTGGGTTTTTATAGCTTTTAGTAAAACATTAAGAACAAATCTGTCCAGTAAAAGGAAAAAGTTTTTTCTTATCAACTATTATTACTGAGATAATAGGGCTCATTATGCCTTTTAAGATATCATAAAGGAGTGCATTAAGTAGAGTAAGCCCCAAAACTACATTATAGTTTGCCTTTAAATTTCCTATTATATGTTACTTTTTCATATTCTTGCATGCAGTCTACCTAATATACTGCTATACACAAAACTTGTGATATTTCTGGAACACTAGTTACAATGCAGATTTTTATGCTGGGTTGAATGAAAGTGCCTTGGGAAATGGACATTTCGAGGTACACTGTAAGATAAGTTAGTTGACATGAATTGAGGGTCAATCAATATTTTATTTTTAAAGTTGCTTCAGATGGTTATTTTACCAATAAAAGTAATAAGATATGGAAGACTGAAAATGACTGTGATAGTCTAAACTGAAAATGCTTTATCAACAAACATTTGTTTCATATAAACATTATTTTAAGTAAAATTTATACACTATTGTATACTTATTATTATATACTTAGCATACAAAGAATTTAAATCACAAAAGAATGAGAACAAAATAAAAATCAATTAAACTTGTGAACTGAAATTGTTTTGCTTGAATAGTCCTGCTGATGGGAAGTTGTTGATGTCTGTAGTTCAAGGATCTAAATGGTAAAGAGTTAACAGGGAGTGAAAAGGTGACATGATCCTGGGCAATATCTGCCTAGGATTTTGTGAATGTGCTTAGCTGCAGATCTGTTGATACATCAATAAATTTCCAGAAACTTTGTCTTAACTTGGGACCCTTGTAGTGAGTAGTAGTTAAGCCTCTGAGAATACTAACCACTACCTGCACAGTATGAGATAATGCTTCTACATGCCTATAAACAAAAGAACAGAACTGAGTAAAATAGCCAAACTAGTATTGACTCTCAGAACCAATAATAAAAACTGAAAAATAAGGCTAATTTGGAAGTTTTTAAAGGTATGGAAACAAACTTTGGACAATAATACATAATCCAGGTTTTGGAGAAGTACTGAACTGCAAACTAATGTAAGGATTTCATACTGGTTTTGGAACAGTATTAATTAGCTTTGTCCCTTAAATAACATGCATTCTAAAGTTTTAAGCCTAATCATTAAAGACTAGAAATGGGATTTCTATTTCCAAACCTGTAATGAGAAACAAATTATATTAAAAAGAAAAACAAAAACCTCAATGTACAGACACTAGGAAAGGAAGAAATGAAGAACCATAGTAAAAGCAGGGTGAATTTTCTGTTCTGAACCTAGGAAAGTATGGTTATAAAAAATATATATATGTAGATATGAGTTTGAAATGAAGTTGCAGGATTATTATCTGTCATCCTGGCTCTAGGAACAGAAATTAAAAGTAACTAGAAATTTTAAAATGGACACTTACATTATGGTGGTTTTATTAAGGTGGTAATATAAACATGTAGGTTTCTGGTTAAACAATGTGCCATATAACCTTATTTCGAACATTTGCTATTTTCCCCTTATTACAGTAACATTGATTTATAACAATATATAATGTAGAGATATAGCTTGGAAGTAGAATTAAATGTTTCTGATGTTCACTTTGATCTCTGCTTGACCATGTTGTATATAGATTGAGTCTGCTACTCTTGCTTTTGGTATAGTCTCTCTAGTGGCTACAGGATACATTGTAATGTAAAACTTTATATGTATTTTATTCTTTACTAAAGGTAATAGACTCTTCATTAAACATGCAGTCCAATAAAATTTTCCTACATCTATTCAAAATAAATAATTTTTACTCCTGATTTGATTATGTCAGTGGTTACTTTATTGGTGGAACGCTGTGTTCAGTATCCCTATACCAAAATTATTCACTGTATTGAAATTTGTTCTTTATTGGTATTTCTCCTAATGATTGTATAAGTAGCACAATTTCGTTAAAAAATTAAAAGTAGCATTATCTTTACGTGAAGGACATTTATATATGTAAACAAATTTAACAATATCACCATGGGAGCAAACCTTATATGCCCCTGATATGATAACAGTAGGGAGGTTATTACTGTTATAGTATTCTTATCAAAAATATTTAACATGAACATAGTAATGAGAAATGTTTAGCAAATTCAGATATGTGGAACGTTATATAAATAGTATATTCTTCAAACAAAACAATAATTTAATTAGATAAAAACATGAATTAAACATGGAAATTAATTCAGTAACACATCAGCTAAGCTTAAGTAAACAAACAGCAGGACATTTTAAACAACTGGGATATTTGAGTATAGAATATATATTTAATTATATTTTCCTGAATACGACAGAAGGCAATTGTGGAGAGCTGTTATTTGAAGGTAATTACTGATTTTTTTTTTAACTAGTAATTTAGGATATTTGAAATGTACTTACAGTCAGTTCAGGGGAACAAAAGAGTGGGGCTGTTTGTAGCAAGTAGAAAAATGTAAGTATGATGAAATGTTTACAATTGGTAAATTAAAGTGGTAGTCATTCTGTTTTTCAGCTTTTCTGTAGGTTAAATTTTTTTGAAAGTAAAATTTTTGGAGGAAAAGTAAAACAGGGTCTATAAATCTTCAAAGTACTAAGACTATTTAAAATGTAAGCATCTTTAGGAAGATTATCTTTTTGTAAAGGAAAGAAATTATTGAGGTTCCCTCCACTCACCTATATTGTTACCATCATGTTACTAAAGTGTCTGTACAGTGTAGAATGTAGACTTCCAAGTTCTTAAGTGATTATAAAGTTAAATCACACTCTTAAGTACAGCAAATACACAAAACCAAAAAAAAAAAAAAAACCATCTTGATGGTGTAACAGCAGTATAATAGAATAATAGATCCAGTATATTTTTTTGGCTAAAATACAGCACCACTTCGCATAGTAAGCTGCTTCTGAGAACCGCAGTATAGTCTTCAAAGCTGCTATATCTATAGAGCATCTGCCATGATGTTTCACTCTTCATACCACTTTTTCATTCCAGCTACTTTCTGTATAATCTTTGTGAAATAGAGTGGCATAATTTAACTCTTTTGTATATCTCTATATCTTCTACATGTTCTTTTGCCTTTTGAATTGGCTTGAGAAAAAAGTATATATTAGTAAATGGTATGAATTCTAATTTATAATAATAAAATATCACTATTTCATTTTATAACATAGTTTGAGAAGTACTTTTTAAATTATTGGCGGTAAAGAGAAACTTAATTTTTCACCTGATAAATTTAATACAAGCAAAGTAATCGAAGCAATATAACTTTTTCCATTTTTACTTTAGCCCAGAAATTGCAGTTGTATGTGTTATTGCCATAGTATAAATTAAGATTGACATTTGAAGCATTCACTTAATCCAGTTATAACAGCAATTTACTCTTCCACATACACAGCAAAATTTCTGGAAAACTTTAAAATGAGCCAATTCTCTAGCATGGAAGCTTTCTTTAAATTATTATTTTAACAGAACTGATAAGCTGATCATAAAATTTATGTGGAAATACAAAAGATTGGAAATTGCCAAAACAATTTTGAAAAAAGAATTTTTGAGTTGAAAAACTGTATCTTTCTTATCTGAAGATATCATAATCGTTAGTTTTCTAGTTATAGGTTTGACATTGTAAAACATTTGATGAAAAATCACTAAAAGCAATTAAAATTAGCCATGCTTTTCATTTCTTCATTTTCCTCCTTTTGTTTTGCTTTAGATCACTGTGTCCACTACTATGATCTTCGTAACACTAAACAGCCAATCATGGTGTTCAAAGGACACCGAAAAGCAGTGTCTTATGCAAAGTTTGTGAGTGGTGAGGAAATTGTCTCTGCGTGAGTATTACTTTCTTCAGAGGCTGAGCTTCATACACAACTCTGTCACCATTTACCACCATGGGTTTATGTAAATAGTAATATGGTACATATGCAGGTTTTAATAAATAATAGTTTTTTATAACTTGTCTGATTAAAATACAGGCATATTTGATCTATATTGCTCATTTTATATGTTGTTTATAAAAAAATTCTGATTTTTAATGTTTAAAGTATCCACCTTAAACATTTGAACTTCAGATTATATTTCAGCTTTTCCTTTAGAGAGAAACAATGTATTTGTTGCAATAGAATGAGAAGTATATTACTTATTGAGATCTACTAATATGTTAGTATATATTTATATACAGTACAGTAGTAGTATAGGAAAGGATTAAAGAAAGTAGGAGTTTTCTGAGGGGAAGTATTTTAGATAATTTGTTCATATATCTAAGTTGTTTGGTAACCTGTCAAAAACTGCCCCATCTAAAATATAAAAGTAGAAAGTATAAAAATGAGTAATAACTCATCAAAATATTATTCAGATTGAAATATAGAGAGTGGTTATGAGACAAATATTTTTCTTCCATTTTCAGATTTATAAATGTTGGCTCAGTTTAAACTTCAAGTAGTTGAAGTTTATATATTCTTAATTATATAAATTGAATATCTTAATTGACCTTATAATGCAGATAGGTGTTTGTATTTTTACCAACTTTTTTCTTAATTTTTATAAATCATCATGGACATAATGATTAAAGCCTAGAAGTATTTAAATAAGTTTATCCTCAAGTTTATGTGGAAATTTTACAAAGTAGCATTAAAAAATAGATATATTGCTGCAGCCTCTGCCATCTTGATCTGAAGTATACTCATACACATACACACACACACACACACACACACACAGAGAGATGAACTTAAAAAACAACATAAATTTCTAAGAAAAGATGTTATGTTGAAAAACTATGAAAAACAATAAAGAAGTATTCAAAATTTGAAACTTGGCCTTTGAAATAAAGACAGTTCTACTATTTGCTAGCTCTGTTACCTTCAATATATTTATTGTGCAAAACAAAAGTAAAACTAAATTACTGGATGAAGGAAAAGTAGCTAGCGAAGCTAGTATGTATAGTATGATCCATTTATTATAATAAATACAGAGAAAAATAAAAATAATGGTGTTATTCATGTTCTTAAGCTTTCTATACATGATAGGATGATCTGTGATCTTTATATTCAACTGTTTTTTTTTTTTCTTAAAAAAGCTTCATTCATATATTATTTCATTAGGACAAGCTTCTTCATAAACCATTAATCCATTTATATTGCTCTACCTTTCTGTGTTTAACTAATATGTGAAAATATATACAATTCAGTGGTTTCTCTGGAATTAAGCACAGTCTCTATAAAATTATCTCATTGTTTGATGATGGTAGAGTGGTGGTATTGATACCTAGTGTTTATTGATCACTTCCTATAAGCTCAGTTACTGTTGAAAGCATTTAAATGAACTAATTTAATTTTTGCAATATCTCATAGGATTCATCTAATTCTGTAAGATTGAATCATTTTATTTCATATTTTACTTATGAAAAAATTGAGACCAGAGAAATTGTATAGCTTTTCCAAGAGCAAAAGTAAATTAATGCCACAGGGAACACGCTTAGATAATATAGCTCCACAGCCTGCATTCTTACCCAACAAATTGATATTAGCTCTAATTAGTAGTGCTAAGTTTCATTCCATAAAATCTTTAATGTCTTTTAAACTCTTTGTTTTTATCTCAGCTCAACAGACTTAAACTCTTTGTTTTTATCTCAGCTCAACAGACAGTCAGCTAAAGCTATGGAATGTAGGAAAACCATACTGTCTACGTTCCTTCAAGGGGCATATCAATGAAAAAAACTTTGTAGGTCTCGCTTCCAATGGAGATTATATAGCTTGTGGTGAGTGAAATTGCCTTTTCCTAGACCTTTTAACAGGTATCTGTCACTGATACTGCATTCAGTAGAAATAGATTACCTCCCCAGACTGGACGTTCTCTGTCACTCAGAAGTAGCAAAACTGACTCAAATGATTTAAGTTTCTAAACCACTCATCTAATTAGAGTAATGCTTTTATTTAAAAGGAAATAGGAAATAAGTTTTATATATTACCAAAACTTGCCTTTTAGTGGTGTAATTTCCTTTCTCTTCTTTAGATGGAATTCTTACTAAGTATGATTAGATTATTGCTATAGTAATAAAATTCTGGTTCTTCTCTAGACCTCTACTTTAAATGATATTTATGCGGTAATTTCAACCATAAATTTATTAATATTGCTGTCATTTAACATTGATTATTACTTTGGGTTGGTATAGTATATGTTTCTTCTAGGAATCTTTTCCTTTCGTGAGAAGTCCAATACTCTTACCTTTCAAATTTAATCATTAAAAGATTAGTCATCTTTGAACATAACTAAACATTAGGTGATACTTTGTGATTTGATGCCCTAATTTTGAGATCTTACTTGTTTTTTGTTTCTTTGTTTTTAGGAAGCGAGAATAACTCTCTTTACCTGTACTATAAAGGACTATCTAAGACCTTGCTGACTTTTAAGTTTGATACAGTCAAAAGTGTCCTGGACAAAGACCGAAAAGAAGACGACACAAATGAATTTGTTAGTGCTGTGTGCTGGAGGGCACTACCAGATGGGGTAAGTTTTTGTGTAAGTTTTTTTTAATCTTACTGTCTCATGATATTTTATTTTTATGTAGACATAAGTACTTTTTTAAAGATTAAGATGTAAATTAATACATACATTTTCTTTTATGCTTAGCAGTTTATCACCAAAGGAAACATTCATTTTGGGTAGCAATTGAAGTATCTCATGGAATAGTGTTGTGCTGATGTGATGTCTCTCTCAGCATCTTGTCCGTACTTTTGTTGTAGCCATTATCACCTTGTCTCTTTCTATCTCTCCTATGCAGTGGAAATATATCCAGAGTGTACATTTTCTCATTTTCCTTAATGATCATATGCAGCTCAATAAATATTCAGCTGAGACTGGTATTGTACTTGGGAGAAAATAATCTGATGTAGGTAAAGAACACTATATACTTAATTCATTATTGCTTTGGGGGCAAAAACTGATTTCTATAAAATATACAAGAATATTTAAATGCATTTAATTTTTTTTTTTTAAAGATTTATTTATTTATTCATATAGAACCTGGGGTACAGGCCAGAGATGCGGAGGGTGAGAAGATTCACCAGAGACAGAGCAGGGAGCAGAACAGGCAGATCGACGAAGTACACTGCTGAAGGGAGCAGCGGGCGGGTCAGGAGAGGTCTGCCGCGCCATGTGGATCTCCTCTGGGGCAGGCGGGGATCGAACTCATGTGGAAGTGGCTTAAGCTTCTTAGTGCTGTGCTTTAACCCACTGCGCGATCAGGGAGGGCCCTAAATGCATTTAATTTTGAACAGGAAAGTATCCCTTTAGGTTTAAAAAAAATTTTTTTTTCTCAAGCATGCCACCTTCTCATATTTTTTAAAGGTATGAGTTATATGAAGAAGTAATTATTTCTACTATCTTGGTTTATAACAACATTAGTTGATTAATATCATTTTTTAAGCAACAGCTTTTTAAGTACTTACATGGTTAGTTTTATTTGGGGGTAAAACTAGAGCTTCTTATTAGAGTAGTACTTTTTTTTTTAAAGATTTTTATTTATTTGTGCATACAGAAGTGGGGTACAGGCCAGAGGCTCAGGGGTGGCGAGAGGCTTCACCAGAGACAGAGTGGGGAACAGAACAGGCAGATCGACGAAGCACACTGCTGAGGGGAGCAGCGGGCGGGTCAGGAGAGGTCTGCCGCGCCATGTGGTCACCTCCGGGGCAGGTGGGGATCGAACTCAGGCGGAAGTGGCTTTAGCTTCTCAGTGCTGTGCTTTAACCCGCTGCGCCACCAGGGAGGGCCTAGAGTAGTACTTTTAAGATGTCTGAGTTCAGTTCCAGTTTAACTTTAAATATTTTCTATATTCCACTTTTATCTTAAAGTTATATTTTTCAACTTACCATTTGGGTAATGGCAGTCTGGGTGATTTGCACAAACTTCTTTAACTAGAAATCATGGAACAAGTACATGTATTTTAAAATCCAAAACCAAAACCTGTTTGAAGGCACTGTAAACAGATGGAAAAGAGTTATGAAATTTAGGAATTTGACCCGGACTTTTTTAGTCTATTTTTCCCGTAGAAAGTATTCACCAGTTTTGGTGGAATGACTGAAAATGCTTATATGGTAATTTCATAGGGAGATAGGAATTGTAATCTTGTGCTCACCTCCTTATGGATGATTTCACATTGGTTTGGGTCTCCTCAGGAATGTAAGGTAAACCAGTAGAACATAAGCCATCATAGTGATTACAGCTCAATTTCAAACCTTAGTTCTGAAATGAAATTAAGGTGATTCTTGATATCTAGTGCACACATCATATAAAATTAAATCCTATATGAAATAAGATCTTCTAAAGAAATCATCTAAGGACTTCATTCATGGTTTTCAGTTTTGTAAATGCAGTAACTCAGGCACAGTAAAATAAACAGGCATAGGAAAAAGGATAGTATCAATATAAGTCTAGCATAAGCACTGGACAATGGAAACAAAATCAAGCAACTCTGGACAGTATACTGTCAGACATACTTGAAATAACATAGCTAGTATAACTTAAAGATAACATCGCTGACAAGATGAAAGATAAGATGATAATTTCAACTGAGAACTAAAAACTTTGAAAATGAAAATTCTAGGCTTAACCTGAAAATAAGATTGCTAAAATTAAGAAATGAATGGATAAATTGGAAGTTAAGATACAGTTAAAAGATAACTAATGAACTCCTAGATAGGTGAGTAGAAAAGAATACAGAAGGAAGCATGAAAAGATAAAATGATGGAAAAAATAGACTAGAGGTAGAGGATGAAGAAAGTTTAACCATTCGGTGGGAGACTTAGAAAAGGAGAAGAAAAGTAATGCAGCCAAAGCAAATATTAGAAAGGATCTTTGTTGAGAACTTTACAAAATTGATGAAGGACATCAAGATATAGATTAAATAACCCTATGAATGGGTTGAAATGAATGAATGACTTGAAACCTACAATGTGAATATTTTCTATCAGACCTGGGTTTGCCTAGAAATATGATCTCCTTTCTCACTATACTGTTGTTGTTTTTTTTTTTTGTAATATGTAAATTGAGATAAATGTGGAATGTTATGGGTTGAGACTAGTTATTTATTAAATTTACTATGAAACTCCATTCATGGTATAACACCTGGACTGAGAAATGAGTCGGTATACTGACCTTACGTCTATACAAAAAGGACAATGAAATTATCATGAAACAAGGCACATATCTATGAAAATGAGATACATTGCAGTGGTGTACTCTGTGTGTGGATTGGGGAGAGATTCAAGAAGGTACACAGGTGCTTACTGGCTGGCTTCCTAATGAGTTTGAAAATGGTTGTGCATACTGAATTTCCTGTCTTAACATCCTTCCACAAAGTAGCTTAGTGCTAAGTACATGGTAATTGTTTCTGATGTTACTCTTGCTGCTGGTGGAATAGTCACACCTTAACACATTACAGTAAAAGTGCTTTACATAAAATACAAAGAGGGATACTTAAGGCAAAACAGGAAAAGTTAACTGTCTCAAAGACTGATGCCAACTTTTCAGTGAAGCAGTGGAAACCAAAAGATAGTGGAATGACATCTTTAATATGTAAAGGAAAATCTGAAAGTCTGCCAATCTGAAAGTCTGCATAAGCAAAAGTTTTCAAGATAAATGTAAAATAAGGAAAATTTTAGATAAATATAAAGAATGCCACCAGAAGTCTCTAAAGAGAACAAATTATATTCTAAGGCAGAAGGAAAAGATACCCAATAGAAAGGTCAGAGTCACAGAAACAAATGGAAAGCAATAAAAATGGTAAATATGTAAGAAATCTAAATGCATATTGACTACATAGAGCAAAGATGACTTGTTGGATTTAATAAACACAGAATTAAGTACTTGACATTATCAGAAGGCTAAGAATAACTGTTTCCAAGCCCTTGCCTTGTCAAGGAAGGAAGTAAAATAAAAGAGCTAATTATACTAGAATGGAAAGATGCATATTGTAGTTTGTAAGACAACTTCTAGTGTAGGTTCTTAATCTGTGCTACCCACACTAGCAAAATTAGCACCCCCTGAGATCTTTCTTTAACTAGTTTCGTTACCATTACAGAGTTATTGTAAATCTTTTTTTATTCTATTTTTTTCTTTTATGTATTTTTTGCATTCTTCACTTAAGATTCTATTTTTAGTTTTACATAGAAGAAATGAGGTACAAGCCAGAGTTGGCAGATTCACTAAAGACAGAATTGGAAGGAGAGCATGTGGATCTACTGAAATACACTGCTTCAGTGGCTGCAAATAGCTTCATAATGAAGAAGAGACTTAACCCCTTGTGCCACCAGGGAGACCCTTGATTCTGATTTTATATAACTGGCATTTTGATTAGCAACATAAACTAACTTTTCTTTGTTTTAGATGAGGCAGAAGGTATGAGAGCCTTTGGTATGAAGAAACTTGGTTGTTCATTTATTCAACAAATACTATGTGCAGTCACAGTTATAGATACTAGGATAAAAGCAGTGAATAAAATTATTTTTTAAAAATTGCAGTTATAGGAGGATTAGTTTTGTGTGCTGAAGTAGACTAAAACAAAATAAGTTATTGTACTAAAAGCTGACAAATTCTTTAACATAAAAACAAAGCAAGAACTAATCCATGTTTCAGTGAGCAAAGGACTATTCCAACTAGAGGAAACAGATCAGAGAACTAGAAGAATGTGATTTGTGTTCAAGGAACAGAAAGAAGGCCAGTGTTACTGCATTAAAGTGAGTCAGGAGGAGTGTAGTAGGTAATTTCAGTTATAAGGATTTTGATTTTACTGGGGATGAGTTTGAAGCCATTTTAAGGATTTTAGCAAAGTAGTAATGCAGTCTGACATAAATTTGTTGTGAAATAGTAGTCTGTAATTTTAATGCATTTTCTGACTTTACTTGCTTGAAAAATACCTTTTACTAGGTCTCATGTCTAGATGTAGTAGGCTTTACCTATTGGATATTTATTGGAAGAAGCTACCATCTGGATTAATATTCAAAATTTCTAACAAATGTGAATATGAACTGACTTAAGCTTTCTCTTTTTTTTTCATTTCATAGTATTTCCAAATTCTAAAATGGAAAGAACAAGTATACCTAAAAAGGAATAGTGAGATAGCTGAAAAATTCCAAGTAATTATTCTTCAATTAATTTAGAGTCAATTCCAAACAAAATTTTTACAGCTTTATATTAAGAGTTAGAATGACTCTTCTAAAAAGAACTTTTGTGCATAATTAAGTTATCTTGGAATATTAGGGCTTTTTTTCTTTTAATGATTATTATAGAAGCTCATTCCTCAAAGTAAAAACCAAAACAATTAGAAATGAGTATGTATATTCTAGAGGATTTAGAAAAATAAATCCTACAAAGAGGAAGTTGTTTACTATCACTCTCCAGAAATAACCAATACTAGCATTTTAATGTGATTAATCTTATGTAGTGTTTTCATTCATAGGTCCTTTTTGTTTTTTGTTTTGTTTTCACTAAAATTGAAGGTTTTATAGTTA